AATTTTTAGCCTTTAGTTCGGCGGTTTTCCTTTTGAAAAATTTACACCGCATTACGTTACTTACAAAATTAAAAGTACTGAAATTACACCTACAAAGTAAAACTAAGTAACCATACGAAATAAGCATGTGTTACTCAATCTGACCACCCCCTTTTCTCTTGGTTCCTTTAATCGTACACGATGGGGTCGCGGTCCCGGCTGTTTTCCAGCAGGCCTGAGGCTACTAAATGCACAAACTCTAAGCAGTGCACTGCCGTCACGCCTCATTTTCCACTTTGGCCTCTTCCCCTCAGGAATTTGAAAGTGACGCCAGTAGCTCGGAGGGAGCCTGTGCCATTTTCTCTTTGTATTCACCCCTGCGCGGTATTTAGCCACTCTGTCCTTTCGACTTTGACCCTTCGGGCAAGGCCGCTTTCCCGAAGTCGTCGAACTGAACCGCGCCTTTCCTTGGGGTGACGCACCTTCTTTTCCCCCTCCAAATCTGGCTCGCCGCTTCGGTCTTCCTGAATGCCACCATTGACGTTTCCTTAAACGGATTAGTGACCTACCCTTTCTTTGTTGGGACGGAGTGGGGCCCGACCTAGGCTTGCGCAGTGACGAACGCCTCCGCTTCTTCCTTTTTCTGCGATGTTTGCAAAGCTGCTCGGTGTTATCGCTGCACTGCTGAAGCGTGGCGCTCTTGCTCTCATCTGCCACTGCGTTAACCATGCCTAAATTTGACAATGTCGAAAGGTCCCCCTGAGGCACGAAGAAGGTTTCCAGCTTCTTACTGGGCCCATTAGGGCTGCTGGCACCCTCTTCATCCACGCAAGGAGCGTCTTTCGACATCGTCCCCACCTGCAGACCGGCCACGGCCTCGTTCTCTACATCATTTACATGGATGCATTCGAGAATTTGCGGGCCATTTTCTGGCGCGATCACTGTTTCTTGCGCTTCATGACGCGCCTCAATTTCTGGCGCTTTGCGACGCGCCTCGCTTTCAGACTCCGGTGCGAGTCTTTCTTTCTTTTTGCTAATAGAAGTTCCAAATCTTCTGATTAGCTCTGCTTTCACAACTTCGTAGTTGTTCGCGTGCTGCTCACTGAGTCGCGCAACAACATCCGCTGCCTCGCAGGGCAGAACCGTGAGTAGCTTGTGAGACCAGGTGTCTCGCTCACACTTCAGTTGACTACACTTTCGTTCAAAGAGTCTAAGATACAGGCCCATATCCCATGATACCTCATATGGCTGCATGTACCTAGACATCTCGAACTCTGCCTCATTTTCGAGAAGTACTCTTCGCTGGGGTCCCATTTTCATACGCAACTCATAGTCTTGTTCGAAAAACTTTCTCTTGAGGCCTTCTCTTTCGTGTTCACTCTTTCCTTCCATCTGAGCTGCTCTTAGTTTTCTTTCGATGATGAGGTCCCATTCTTCACTTAGTTCCTCATCATCAGCCCCCAAATCATTAATCGCTTGAATGATTATGGGTTTTCGTGCCAAACCCTTTGTATCGATCCCCAACTCCTCACACAACAGCAACAAGTCTGACTTCTGCAGCTCCCGTAAGTCCATGATCGTACTGAGTGCTCGCTACTTCCAAAAATAACTTTCCGAAACGGCGAAACTGAGTCTTTCGGCAAAGTTAACTACCAGTTCTAAAATTTACCCTCTTTTAGAACCTGGTTCACTCAAAGGAAAAGCCAAGCACTCACCCATACGTGATCCATGTCTCGAGCCAACTGCTTCTCCTGGGCCGACTGTTGTTGTCACTTGTAGCTTCGAATCCCACCGCTGCCACCAGTTGTCGCGGCTCGGGGTGCTGAGTCGCATCCTACCTCCGGTTGACGAAGGAAGAAGCAGGACGTTGGAGGATGCGAAAAACAGAACAGGGTTTATGGCACTATTTACAAATATTTACAGCATAAGGTTAAGAGTTCACAAACCACGAGCGTGGTGGTTAAACCTTTTCTTGGTTCAGAGCCTTAACAAACTACGAACGTGGTGGTTGAACCTTTACTGGGTTCAGAGCGACGTCCTGCACTCTGCGGCGCCGTTATAAGCCCTGTCGGGCTCCTCCTTCTTCAGTCGAACACCAATCACATACACACAACAGGTGAGGGGTACGAGCAGGCACGGCGCACGTGAACAGCCAATTTCGAGTCAAGATCACTGCACTTAAAGGTGGCGCCAGAGGGGCTCTTGCTCGTCGTGTGTGTCACTGGTCGAGGGATCCCAAGCTTCGGACAGCAGAGATCAAACGGTCCGCCAATCTGTCTGCTCAATTAGCAGGGCACTTTGTGGCGGCGGTCGCCGTTTCTTCAAAGGAATACGCTGTCTTTGTTGTCCCCTCTGGCACGGCTTACAGCTTCGTGGCGACACCACGTCGCATCCGCCGGCCAGCCGGGACAATACCTGGCGGGCATAAGCATTCGGCGAGTCGGCTACTTGTTTGAGGGTTAAAAGAGCGCCGCTCCCCCGTCAGATCTCGACGCTGGTTCCAAGAAAACCTGGGTTCCAGGCATGGGAACGCGGCCCGGCTACGCTTCTCAGCGACAGCATGGCGCCTACCGATGGCGGTCGTAACAGTATTCTTTTGTGCGCTGCTTAATGAAAAAGTCACAGTATATCCATGGACTGAATGATGGTGAGTAGAGTTGCTTGTTGGGCAAGTTGCTACATACTTGGTAAATTACAAAAGCCGCAAAACGTCGAAATCATAGAAAAAAAAACTGAGCAGTATGCAGAGAGCAGAATCGTGACTCTAACAACTGGCGTTTATTTCAAAAAAAAAAAAAATCCTCCCGTGTCGGTACAATGCATGCGCAGATAACAAACCAAAAGACCAAAACACCAAGCAATTTCATGAAAAGGTCCTACTCACTGGGGCCTGGGTTCGCCACGATATCGCCACATATCCAGACATAAAAGGAAGCACTTTAGACTATGCACGAGCAATACACATTGGGTAGGGCAACAGTACCAAGAAACAGTTGTCACTTCGATAACACCTCGTAGGCAGGTAAGAACTCACCTGCACCAAGAAGCAGAACGGATTTCGAAGCATCGTCTCCTAAGTGATGCTACAAAGCCCCCCCCCCCCCCCCCCCCAAAAAAAAAAAAAAAAACTTTGCTATATTTTCACAGCTCCCTTGAATTTCGAAGGCCGCCAGCTTGGCAGATGCACATTTCAATTCACTGGTTCTGTCAAGGGATTTCACAGACGTGGCAAGTGCTAATGTGGACTCTTATCATTGTTTGCTAAGTGAGGTAGATCTAAATACTAGTTTTATTGAAACAGTGGTGCTCTTGTTTACTCTGCATGACTTGGGTGATGTTGAATGGCTTGAACATACTTTTTTTTCCCAATATGTACGCCTTCTTTCCTCCAAACTTGGTCTTTCGTCATAAAAAATCGGTGTTTAATTTTTTCATATGGCCTGCTCCAAATTTGCATTTTAGTGGTCCAAAAGTAAGATTCTGCTGCTCCGAAAATTGCTTCACAACCCTGCAGAATGGAAAAGCTGACCTTATCTGCAAAGGCGGTTGTTTTATGCCAAGAAAGTAGGAAGCGAGGAGAATGCAACGCCAGAGTGATTACCGACGTTCCTGTAGAATACTGTCGTAGAATGCACGCTTTTTCGTATCATCACTTCCTTGGGAGGATCGAAGACAACGCCGAGGGAGTGCCGCACCGGGGAAACAGTGGCTACTCGGCTGCTGACCCGAAGGACTCGATCCGCGGCATTCAAATGGCCCTGGGCGATGTCAGTGCACGTTAAGCAATACCAAATGGTTAAAATTTGCGGAGCCCTACGGTGACTCTCATAATCATAACGTGGTTTTGAGACGTAGTATTATAACATTTTTTTGAACGTCCAGGGAGCTACCACGCCCGTCGCTCACAGACCAGGAGCCAAGGGTGGCGCGCAGATCATTTGTAAGAGTCTCTGGGCAACCGGTATGGTGTAGACGTTTTCAGTCTAGCGCAACTTATTTGTCTGAAACGCATTATGCAAGAAATGTGCTCGGCTATGCCCTGGCGTAGGCAGTAATATATATTTCCTTTTTTTCATAGCTTCAACCATGTATATGCGAATGGCTGCTGGAAAAGGAGGCGTAAGGCCGCGTTCACACTGAGCATTCCGGCCGCCGAAAGTGCTCCGAATCCGGTTCGGCGGCGGCGAGATCCGCCCAAAGGGCCCTCTCCGCGCCGATCGCTCTCGGACCGATTTTTGCGGCGTCTGCCGCCGAATCGGTCACCGCGGACCAATAGGAGCGCTAGTCAAGGAATTTTGAAAAATGGCGGCCAAGCCCTACTCACTTGTTATGCCGCAGTGCACGTAACTGAATGTTGAAACCAACGGGAGTTTAAGCTACTCTGTGCCTACTTCGCCTTCGCATTTCGTGGAAGAGGTGACCGAGCTTGCTGTTGGCGGGACTGAGCTTGTTGCGGTCTTGCAGAGCAAAACGAACCCACCAACGCCGCTGGCGTCGGTGGTTTTTCTGCTCTTCGTGCATTACAAGACAGCCACTTGCCAGCAAAGTAAGCAGTACTGTCTTTTCTTGCTTCTTGCGTACGAGAATCATCAAAGTATACGCCACCGCATAGCGTAGTGGCGTTTGCGAGCCGCGACAACAACCGAGTGACAGCGCATCCATCCCGCGCTCGCCCCGTAGTAGATGGCATATTCGGCGGCGCGGGGCGCGTCCAGTGCGAACGACGCTGCGTTTCGGTGGCAGGGGAATTTCGGTCGCTGTCGTCGGGGTGCATGATCGTCGGGGTGCATGTCTTTTGGTATCGGTAAGCTTACTAAACGTTTTGTTATCTCATACGCGATTAGTGTCACATTGATTTGCGTAGTTCGTGCCCAGTTCGTCTAGTATAGTTCTACCTGCTTTACTGCCCGTTATCTTTTCATATTGTGTGGTTCTCTGGGTTTCAATAAGCTCTTCGTATGTGTTGCGAAGTCCTAATTCAAGTCACTTCTAATGGAAGGTAATCTTTCTTCCCCTTTCAGCCGAACCTCGTCTGCTGGACATCCTCAAGTTTACAGCGTACGAAACAAAAGTGAGTTTGTGCGTGCCACTTTATGTTTTTATTTATTTATTTTAGTTTATTTTATTTTTGTGAAGGACGTGGTGTTTGCGCCTAGAAACTGCTGTCGCCAAGTGAGGGTGACTTCTCTTTGTCAGGCCCGCGAGCGTATAATAACCTTGCGCCTGCTTCGTCCCCCGTGCCCCCCTAACTTCGTGATGCCGATATACACTCCAATCGGCGCATACAGAGGGCACCTGTGTGCGCCGTTTATGGTGTGGCGAACGCGCAACGTTGACAGCCTTAGAAGACTGTATCGCCTCATTCATTGTTGTTATGGTGGCACAAGCGCCCGTGGTACAATGCTTCGAGCAGGATTTAAAGATGTCTAGGGAGACATTCTTCTGCAAAGTCGTCATAAATAAATAGGGGAAAGATGCACGAAAGCAGCCACGTTTTTTACGTTAGCCTGTTGTCAGTACTGACTAAATTCGTGTGTCAGGTGTGCGGATAGTCTAAGGTGGTTACTTCTTAAGTGTCGCGATATGCTGTCATTCTTTCACACTTGGAATAATATTGGCGCGCTCCCGCTGCCTGAGTGCTTGCGAAATACTCAGAGCATTTCGAAATGTCGATCGCTCCACGGCCACTCGCCGTGGTAGTCGCGGTGAGCGGCCGCGTGGCATGCTCGTTTGTTGCGGCTTCCTGCTATCGATTTTTAGCCACGCAGTCTCGCGAAGTGCCTTGCTTGAAAATGTCGCGTCATCGCTCATAATGATCATGGTCTTGCCGCTCGCGCAGCTCATGCTAAAAGCTTCACGTGCTGGCGAGAAATAACGCTCTACGATTTCGGCCAGAAAGGACGCCGCAGCCCCGTTTCGTCTTCGAGTTTGTGGAGTGGCGACGACGATGGCACGCTCATGCACTTTGCCTACCGTCACGTCTCTCTCATTCGCTCTTACCTCTTGCGTTGTTTATGTTGTTTTAGGAAACAAACAACACTGGCATGCACATTCGCCGATTCATCGCTCGCAAAGCTTTGTTTTTTCACCCTACAGTCCTGTTAGGCTACGCCTTGCATAATTTCTTCCTAGCATCCAGATTGTTTAACTACCCATCAAAGAAGAGGACTTCTGGATGAACCACTGCGAAAAATGACATTCAGTATATCACTTCGGTGGCTATTTTCTTTAGGGCTACAGCACTGGACTTTAGCCGCAGGAGCTTTTGCGATGCCGTATGCGACTTACTGCGTGAGACGGAATGAATTGAATGCTAGGTTAACTAAATCAAGCTGATTCTTCAACATTAGTCTTTTTTGTGAATTGAGCCAATTAATTATTTCGAAAATTATCTATTGCTAATGCTAAATGTCTCGTGATTATACACAAAATTATATATATATATATATATATATATATATATATATATATATATATAAGGCACTGCCTATTTCGTGACCGATCCCTCACGGTGCGTTGCGCCAGTTTCAAAAGGGCCAACGAAGGTCTTAGGTTGATCATACCGGGTGCTCATAGCTCTGCTGGGCGGGTACTTATGTATACGGTAATATGCTACGAAGCTCAGTTCGCCCCTTAACTGATGACCGATCAGCCCAACAATGCACTAATTGACCTCGCATTGCATTTTCCAAAACTCCGAAGTTTAGACGACGAGTTTAAAATGATTAAGGTTCATAAAAACGTTCCATCAGTCTTGATATGAATTGAAATGCCTTACATATGTTTCTTATACCAGTTCTGAGGCAGCAGGAACATCACGCAAGACTACTGCACCAACACAGGTGGGGTCTCAGACCAATTCAAGCATGCAGCGGCAGAATTAACACGAGATGGCACAGGGAGCGGGAAGCAAACACTTTTTACGTCGCACAGCAGTGATCCACCTATTTCGCTGACAAATAAACCAGGAACGAGTCGAGAAACTATAAAAAGTTGCTCCCGCAGGACACGACGGGTACCTCTTGGTACAATAGACTACGCAGCGATTCATGATTCCGATGAAGTATACGTGCTAGCGGGCTTTCGGAGGGCGTTTGGTTCTGCTCGGGCTCTCAAAGACTGTGTGCTCGCTCACGGCTGCGGGGCGGCGCACCAGTCATTATGCACGACGATAACAAAGGCAGTGAGCATAAGATACAGGAAGTCACGCTAGAAATAGTGGACACATACAAATATTTGAGTGTATGAATAAATAACGGATCTGAGTACCTAAGGAGGCACGAAAGATATGTAATAACTATAAGGGTAACACGAATGCAGCTGTAATGAAAAATAGGGCACTGTGGAACTACGATAAGATGACGTTGTGAGAGGGATTTGGAAAGGTGTCATGGTCCCGGGTTCGGCGTTCGGCAATGCGGTATTTCGCATGAAGTCAGAGGTTCAAGCAAGATTGGAAATTAAACAACGTGGCATAGGTAGACTTGCATTGGGAGCACACGGGAATACCACAAATCAGGAGGTACAGGGTGACATAGGATGGACATCATTTGAGTGCAGGGAAGTTAGCAGCAAGATAGAATTTGATGAGCGATTGAAAAAATGGGAGAGGAGCGTTGGGCTAGGAAAGCCTTCAGCTACATGTACGCGAAGAATTTCGATACTAAATGGAAGAAAAGAACTCAAAAATTGTTAAGCAAGTATTTAGACAACAGCAGAATACGAAGCCAAAAGGAAACATCGGTTAAGAAGAAAGTGAAGGAAACAGAGAGGGACATGCGGAAGATGGGAATGCTTACTAAATCATCACTGGAGACCTACCGAACTTTTAAGCAGGAAGATGCAAGGCAAAAAATCTACGATAATTCTCGGGGTAGTTCTCTGCTTTTCGAGGCTAGAACGGGAGTATTGCGGACCAAGACGTACCGAGCAAAATACGAAGTCACAGACACGGTATGTAGTGTGTGTGGAGAGGAGGAAACGGCTGAACATTTGATAATTTTCTGTAAAGGGCTCCACCCTTTAGTCGAAGATAATGGCGCCGAATTTTTCAAAGCATTAGGGTTTGGACAGTGAAAGCAAAATAGACTTTAAATAGGTAGAAATAACCAGGAAGAGGCTAACTGATTGGTGGCTGCAATCAAGGTGCGAGAGAAATTCAATCCCTAAGCACGTAGTGATAGTACTTAACTTTATGGCTAGGTGGCGTGAGCCACCGCCCGATCTAAAGGGCACAGCCGGATACATTCATCCATCCATCCATACGACTGGCAAAAAACCTAGCCTGGCCCTATACAGATCACGAAAAACCCACGGTCTCCGCAGAACGCCTCTACGACAATAGCGTCGGCAGTGCCCTTCTGTTTGATGCCCGTGCTGGAGCGCTTAGCACTCGGGTGTATCGGCGCCACTTCGACCCGTCACTGGATGACGATACTGTGCAGTGCAGGGCATGCGGGAAAGGCGAAGAGCACATTGAACACATTGTGCTTCACTGCGAACGCCTGTGGCCTCGTGAGCGTGATGATGCCACACTAGTAGAAGAACTAGGCTTTGTGGAAGGCTGCGGCGCACCGGGTCGAGGCGGTAGCCACGATACCAATGTGCACCCCCTGGCAACGACAGCAGTAACAAGAGCAATACTGATGTAGTGGTCAAGCAGACACTGAAAAAATGTGATGTTGGTGGACCTGTTGTGAAATCGTTTTCTTCTTAATTTATTTTTATTACGGTCAGGACACTAACCGGCGTCCCCCTGGTATGAAGGGGAAGACTACAGTCATCATCATCACGGCCTGTATAGAGCACTGTGCACTGGCAAGAGGGCGCTATTCATAGCTCTCACGTACCAGCCTACAGGGATACCGGTATCAGCCGATAGGACTGCAAGGAAAGGTGTCTGCTGCCGAGGCAACCGCGTGGGCGCATACGCACCAAGTACGGAATAAAAATGTACCCTTTTCTTCCCTGCTTGAAAAACAAAAAAAAACAACAAATTTTGTTTTCCGCTTCCTGTTTACTCAGCGTCATTTCTTGGTTGCCCTCGGCAGTTCCATGCGTAACCGCTGCTTATCCTGCCTACTGTTGTCAAGGCTACAGTTTCCTTTCTTTAAATTGGTTCTTTATTCTATGGCTAGGTTGGCTTTCGTCCGTCATTCTCGCTTCGCTCTCGTTTAAATGAGTCGTAACGTCAGCGTCGGTGCAGTTGCAGCAGCACTCCAGCCTTTGTCGAAATCGTCGCGGAGCAGCAGCAGCGATCGGCTGGTGGTGTTGGAACGCTAACGCCTGCGCAGGCAAGGTGATCCTGAACTCCGGGCCAGGGAAGGGCAAGTCAAGCGTCCGCATGGAACTACAAATCCCGGGATCCGGAACGTCGAGGTACCGCTTCCGCTACAGAGATACAACGCGAGTTCGCGGCGAGGGTAGCGAGGCTCGAGAGACAACTACAGCGATAGGGAACTGATTGAACGAGTGCACGATTTAGAAAGACTTCCTCGACAACGCACAAACACAACGTAATGGTAACACAAAGTAACACCCTTTATATACTCGGACGCTTCGTGGGACACTTCAGGCCGCAGTGGCAGCAGACGGTCCATGGGAGCACCGTCCTAATCTATCTTCTTGCTTATGTGCAGGTAGGGTATACCGTTCTTTGAACGTTATATATCTGCCGCTGCTGCTGCTGCCGCCCTTGGGTCTTGATTTATATGTGGGGTTTAACGTCTCAAAGCCACCATAAGATTATGAGAGATGCTGTAGTGGAGGGCTCTGGAAATTTCGACCACCTAGGGTTCTTTAACGTGCACGCAAATCTGAGCACGTGGACCTACAACATTTGCGCTTCTATCGGAAATGCAGCCACCGCTGCCGGGATTTGATCCTGCGACCTGCAGGTCAGCAGCCGTGTACCTTGGCCACTAGACCACCGCGGTGGGGCTGCCCTTTGGTCTTGTATTTTGTGTCTAGAAAAGTGCTAGAATGAGTGACATATGTGAGACTTCTAAACAGGAGTTTTCTGAGGATGAGGATGTAACGTGCGCAGAATGCAGACAATGTTATTACATGGGA